ATATGTTCATCCAAAGCCAATATGGCAAAAAAGCTGACATTGTGGATGAAGTTTCTCACCTTCCTCTGTAAGGTTGCTTACCTCCATCAAGTGAGAATAGGGATCCTTTGGGTCAAATGAGTTTTTCAAAGCCCTGCAGAGGCTAGCCATTATGTGCTTGGGTTTTCTCATGACTCCAATTCACACAAAGAATCTATACCCCACCATCAGCAGGCCTCAAATTGGAGAAGCTGAGCAGTATTAAAGGCAGGCCTATTTGATCACTCCTGGTTCAAAGGAAGGGTGTCCAGGCCACCCTGAAATTAGGCAAATGAGGGGCAAGGGAGCTTATTGTAGACACTGTCTTAGGCTGCGCCCCTCATGGAAACTTCCAGCCAGAGGTTATGAGGATTGTCTATATGGTAGCAGATGAGGTCCTTGTTGCAGTGTTTTGGTTTGAATTGTGGTCATTTGTGTGGCTGTGGAAGAGATGACTGCGTCCCCCTGGGCTTGAACTCTGGTGTGATTCCCCTTGGAGACTGAGTTCTAAAACTGACCTCAGAGAAGTATTGCCATGAATTGTGTTGGGATTTTTTGAGGCCATGCATGAGAGTCCCCCCTGGAAACTGAGATTGAAGCCCAGGGTGAATTTCCACAGCACACTGGGAATCTCAGTCAGCATATCACATGATTTTATTCTTAAAGACCTGGCAGCCATAGTTGAGAGTCAAAACACACATGGATCTCACATTTTTGACCTCAGTGGGCTTGGTTTCATGTGACATTTTGGCCACTCTTTGGGTAGCTTTGTTTGTGAGAGTTCTCCAGAGCTTTTATTGAAATGATCTTCCTCACCATTTAATGGTTCCTGTATGAATGGAAACCCACAGTGCCTCCAACTTCATCTTTTAAAAATGGCTAGATAAATACCATGCAATCTTTGAAATTCCCTATCATCTGAAAGTTTGAGAAGCCAGCAGGAATCAGCAGAGCTCAGAGCCCTGGGACCCTGAGAGGGGAGAGTGGATGAATCAGCTGTCACTCAGGGTCAGACCCTAGGAGGACTGGTTCCCTGGCTTTGTTTACTTAAGAGTAGCAAAGTGAATATTGGCATAGCTTGGTTGGGATACTCCCTGGAAACTGAGGACCATGAGAGATGTTCACCTGGGCTGGGGACACTAGACACTGAGCACAGCTTTGCTCCTGACTCTCTAATTACTGCCTGCCCAAGAAGGATGGTGTGGGCAGTCCTACCATCACAAACCTCACTGCCTCGTTTGTTTCAGGCACTGAAATATTGAGATGAGGAAGAAACCCCAGGCAGAAGGCAACGGAGAGAACACATGCATAGAGAGTGAGATGCCCTTGAATTTGGGGACCGTGTTGATCACGGAAGGAGCTGCCGAAGCCGGCTGCCCGCTGGAGTGTGCTTGGCACTGCTCCAAAGAACGAGAAACAACCTGACCTTTCCGACAGTTTATCCAGACCCTGGAGGGATCTTCCAGGGCTGGAGCCCCTCGACAGAGAGTGCTTCACTGAGACAGACCCAAACCTCCACCAAGAAGAAACTCCAAGCAAGAGGCCTGTCTGCAGACGCTTACACATGTGTCGACACATAAGGTGCATGCATGCCTGCCTAGAAAGCATCTGAAGGACACGCAGTAGCATCAGGTGTGGGAATCTCAGGGCAATTTTAGGTTCTTGGTTTTGCCACACCGACTTTCTTAAACTTTTACAGTGCCTAGGTAATATATGTGTGATGATATTTTTCTTTGATTAAACAAATAAAGAGCGATTACGTATTCCAGATGTGTGCCCCAGTTTGAGAAGCAGCATTTGAAGCAGTACCTCTGGTTCCCTTGAGAGAAGCAGCAGCCCTGAGCCTGAGCTCCCAGCAGCCCCTGCCCTGCCCTGTCCTGTGGTGCCACAGGCCTCTCATGAACCTGCTCCACGTGGCAGGAAGGGGCTAAAGTAGGACTGAGCACTTCTGAGTCTCAGCTTCACACCAGTGTCTTAGGCTTTCTGGAATATTCCACGCTCCTCCTATCCCCACTTAGCCACACCTGGCCAGACTCCACCGCCAGGACTCAGAGAGTGTGGATTTTGCTGGTAATATTGCAAGCACAGGTAAGCCCCTAGCAAAAGCCCCAGCTGCAGGCTGTGGATGGAAGCTCCTTCCAGCCCAGGGGAGACTCTCATCACAGAATGAATGTAAACCAATGGCAGGGCCTGGGCCCCATTAGTCCAGCATTGGAGAGGGATGCCAAGCTCTGAGGTCACTGAACACCATCTGAATGCAGACCCACAAGGTAATGTTCTCTGTACGGTAAGAGGCCACTCATTTTTCTCAGCTGAATGAGCCAGGACACCTTAGTTCTCAAACTCAGATGTACCCAAGGAAGTGCAAGGACTGAAGATTCCCAGGCCATAGTTTCTGAAGACTTTAATTCACTGGGTTTGAGTGGCCCTCTAGAATTTGCAGTGGATAAAGATCTCTCACTAGGATACAGTGATAAGCTAAGTTACACCATGAGGAAGTGACCAGATAAGAAGTCCAGAAAGTAGGAACTTAAGCAGAATAAATGATCTGACCCCAGCAATCCAGATTCATGTAAAAGTAAAGGATGGAAAATTAAAGGATGAGGCAGAGGGGGGGGAGGGGGGCCATGGCACTGGGTCGCTCAGGACACAGAGTTCATGGGGATGGGTGGAGTTAGCACAGGCCCAGTTAGGGCCTGGGCGTCTTTAGCTTTAAAGGAACAACTAATTGTAAGGGATACCTTTGGGCCAACTGAGCTGATTTTCTTATAGAAAGAAACAAATTATTTTCCTATAGAAAAATGCAATCCATGTGTGTGTGTGAGTGTGTGTGTGTATGTATGTGTGTGTGTACGCACACACGGTGCTGGGATTGGAACCAGGGCCTGTGTACACCAGGCAAATACTCCACCACCAAGCCACGTCCCCAGTCCTAGAGACTTAACTAAGGAAAGCAGTTTTGAAAATAGCATGCATGATGCCGTTTCACTTTGTTCAAAGAGATATAACACACACGCTTACACATGTGCATACACACACGTACACACTCTGCTAAGAAGCTGGAGGGACCACATTAAGACTGCTGGTCTCCAAGTTCTTGCTTTTGCT